TTCAGCCTTCCACTGCCTTTATAACTATCTACATTCATATATATTATGCCTATGTAAGATTACGTTACATAGTATTATAGAATGGTTATTTAAATGTTAGCTACAACAAAACAAATAATGCTATTAAATTGTTTCTGTGTCGATGTTAATAATGTTTATTAATCTGAATAATTTAATTATTAAAAATTACTAGTCATAATATAATTCAAGTGCATTTATTATACTAATAGCTTGATAAATCTGTTACTCTATGAATATTAATAGATATATTAAATATTTAGACCAACTAGGTCGGAAAGTAGGTCTACGTAATGAACGAAATCATTACATAGTATAAAACAAAGTCGTTGTCGCTGTCTGTCCGTCCCTGTACGCTTAAATCTTTAAAACTACGCAACGGATTTTGAAGCGGTTTTTTTAATAGATAGAGTGATTCAAGAGGAAGGTTTATATGTATAATACATGTACACCTGTGCGAAGCCGCGGCGAGTAGCTATTCAATAAATAAAGGCACTCGCAGAATGAAAACGTTAATCAAGTCCTACCATTAGGGCGTCTCATGTTTTATTACTTCGTAAATTTAAGAAAATAATAAAAAAAATAATAGTATACTCATCATCATCTACATCGCAGCCCGGAAGACGTCCACTGCTGAACAAAGGCCTCCCCCAAAGATCTCCACGATGTACGGTCCTGCGCTGCTCGCATCCATCGCCTTCCAGCGATCTTGACCAGATCGTCGGTCCATCCGGTTTTTTATACTGCAATTAGGAAAATTCACGGAATTTTACTAACAGTTTGTCCGCGATATTATTATATTGCTGTGTATACATCAGCATCTTGGTCCTTACCCAAAAAATAAATATAATAGTTGCAATGCTCGTATAGTGGGACAATTATTACTACCCCAGTTTTTTTTATGGATGATAATGGAATGGTGCACCCGCCTGCGGTAACGGTTTACGCTGGCGGGGCATCAATGGAGGATAATAAGATGAGCATGAGGTCACGTCAGTTAGCCTATTGTGACAAATTCAGCAAGAATCTATCACGATAGTTTCCAGGTGGAACCGCGTGGAGGTCAAAATTGACATGGTATAATGCTAGCAATAAGATCATCAGTCCACATTACTAACAATCCCCTTTTCCCCCTACTACCGCAGTTGCAAACAGTCGGACACGAGACGGGTGACACTTCTCACGTATCGGTGGAGTATTAAAATCTATACGTTCCAAAACAGCGGGGGTCATTTAACAGTAGTTACTAAGTTTGGATCGTAAGCAGTGTCAGCAATAAGAATATGGACGTCGTACAACAATAGCTGGTTTGCATAAGTGCAAGTGTCAAAGTGTTATAACACCCATTTGCGTATATTTTGTGAAGCTGTCGACGGCGACAATACTTTACTGCATTTATAATTTAGAGGTTCAGATAAGTTAAAACATAAATTTAATTTATTGACGGCCTCGTGGTCTAGCATTCGATTCCTCGTAATTTGATTGTTTGTTCTAGATTTACGAAAAAAAAATTATCTATTTAGTTGTATCAGTTATCATAAAACTTTAGATGGCGCTGTGTGAAAAATTATTATTATTATTTAAAAAAAACAGCACTTATCGTTGATTTTTTAAACTTGAAAATAGGAAGCACTTTAATGAAAATAATTTTGTTTATTTATTATTGTAACATTTATCCTTAACATATAAGGTGAAACTCTGTTCCCTAAATAGGAAAAAACCTGCACTTCAGGATAAGCAGTGGTAACACTACCGTGACACAGAATATATAGTAGGTACTGTTAGGCGCCTGAGCCCGTTTTTCACCTCTGAACGAGGCATCATGAGGCAATGAATAGAGTTCGGATATATCTCGGAAGCCTCTCTCTCTATTCTCATCTTCAAATTTGACTTCAATATAAATTATTGATTCTGTATTATTGTAAACATGTACAACATTTATTTGAAAAGAATACAAGCTGAGTTTCTTGTCAGTTGTTCTCATCTCGAAATCATTCCGAACTGACGGTAGATTTGATATCATAAGAGTCTGTAATAGACCTACATGAATAAAGATATTTTGAATTTTCCTAGTGTTGACTTAGTGTTGCATCGTCGAACAGTCAACACTAGGCTTCTAAGCTATATCCGAACTCCAGTCGTGAAATGGACTTTTGCGGGTTGTAGCTTCGTTAAAAAAAGTCTTCCATACTGTTTCATTGGTTTTCAAAGAACTGTCATTTTTTTGTATTAATTTTGTTTTCACTATATATCTATATTTGTATTAGTTTGGTATCTATGGATAGAATGTATGCGTGTGGAGTCGACGTCATTTAGTAGTCGATACATTAGTATTCAAAAAAGATATTATGAGATATTATGTAAGATATTATGATAAGGGCACACGGGGCCCGTGCCCAGGGCCCCCATTCTCAGGGCGCCCGAAGGACTGACAATTTTTCTCACACATTTATTCTCAAAAGATTTTAGCCGTGCACACTACACTTTTTTAACAAATGTTATCGATTATACCGATTACTTCGCCTTTTCCTATGTTCTTACCTAATGAGCTATCTTTTTACTTTCCAAAAGGGCCCCGAATTCTTGACTGCCCAAGGGCCCCAGCCTAGTTTGAGACGGCGGTGTATGTACTCAGGTATTTTTATTCATTAGTTTGTAATTTTTTTAAATGGATGATAATGGAATACCACTCCCTGTCTACGCTAATGGTTTACGCTGGCGGGGCACCAGTGGAGGATGGTAAGATGAACATGAGGTCAGGTCAGTTAGCCCATCGTGGTAAATTCACCTGGAATATATCACGATGGTTTTCAGGAGGAGCAATGGGGTTATTAATCCACATTACTAACAATGATATTTAATTGATAAAACATTGATTTTACGTGCACGCGAAAAGAAGAACACCTGACTACGCTGGCAATCTGGCGCTACTTTCCATCCCCGGTAAAAGAGGCAGGGGCAGACCAAAGAAGTGGTGGGAAGATGTAATTGCTGGAGATATGGTGGAGTGCGAGGTTTCTGAAGACGATGTCTGGGACAGGGAAAAGTGGCGGAGAAAAACAAGGAAAGCTGACACCACTACCATGTGGGATACACAGCTGGGAAGAGAGAGATAGAGAGAGAGAGAGAGATTGATATTTAAAAATAGTAATAGTCTGTAGCAAACTCGTCCGCGTGTGTACCTCAGTCTCACCTATTTCAGCCAAGCAGCTTGCTTTGTAAGATGTTTCGGTTGTAGGGTGCAGTGCAGATTAGGCAGTGAAATTACAGGGTAAGAGGCGTGACATCTTAGTACTCTGGATTGACAACGCATGAGTGGTATCACGGGTGTCACATGATAACGTGATGTCACAGTGCCGTTTATTAAATATTCTACTATCTATGCCTCTATTACTTAATAAGATATTTTTTCAGTATAAATTAATCACATTTAAATAATCTACTACTACCTTGGTATGTACCTATCTACCTTCTTACCTATATGAAATTCTCGTGTCACAGTGTTTGTAACAATCCTCTCCAGAACGGGATGACCAATTGTTATAAAATTTTGTATGTACAGGTATTTAGTAGATCTGAGAATATGATGTAGGTACCTAAACTTTTTTTCATGCTCCTAAATGAACGGGTAGTCCAACCCCAATTTCATTTTAATTTACCTTTTCTATGATTTGCCATTAAGAATACATATAATCCTAAATATTTAGCCTTGGTAGAAAGATGAAAAGCAACCCCTATTTTTAAAAGTGATATTAATTTATTTGGCATAACAACGTTCTGGGTGTGTTATAAATATTTCAATAAAAATAAATATTTTTTTTATTGAAATAAATAATTACTATAAGTGATAATTAAAAATTATGACATTTTAGTATGTTAACCGTCATGATATTATCCTACAATTACTGTAATTACTAGTGTGGGTAATAATACATATTTGTAAAACATAATTAAAATTATAAAAATAAAAGTAAATAAAAAAGAACCAAAATAACATACTAAAAAATTACTTGAAATACTTAGGTAATAAATATAGAAATATGTTATTGTTCTAAATGCGCAAGAAATAAAATGCTTTTAATATTTTTATTTATTTTATTTAATATCTATACATTTACGATACTTCCATTAAGAACGCAATAAAACCCTAATAACTATAAAGTGAACAGTTTCCTTTCAAATAATATATCACATAGGTATATACATATCTACTCGATTAAACGTCCAGAGACAAATTACATTTATACTTTATTGATCCGAGACATGCTTGTTAATAAAACGCCTCTATCTAATAGACCATAGACATTATCATGTAATTTCGTAACGCCACTCAGTCAATCTACGCTCAACTGCCAGCAATTAAGAATTTTCAATTGGTCTCATTCGATACAAAGCAATCGAGTTAACAAAATAATCGTTTGAACTAAACGCGACACAAATATATTACGCCGATCAAGATATATTCGTATAATCATACACAAACAAAAGAAAAATGACTCATTCAATAGTAGAAACCTAAAAAATAGGCTACAACTTAATTACATTATGTCATAATCTAAAAAAAATACAAGTTTCCGAACGCAACTGGTCCAATAACTCATCAAAATGGCGTCCTACCTATCAATATAATAATTCTGTCAAACTTTAATTGAAATTCCGAACCGCGAACGTTCAGAAAGCGACCCGCAATATTATTGATACATTACGACCCCGCAAAAGAGCCATAGCGCCAATTTACAACTGAATTACAAATCTCTACGAAGCACACTAAATACACAATCAGGTTAAATCAATTGTGGATCGGCTATCTCTTTTGCGCATCAAAGAGGATTTAGGTGTTAGAGGGTGACGCGAGAACCGCTATGGCGTTGTTTAAGTTGGAAAGCGCCGATGGTTGACGCCTACAAAACGGATGGGAAGGGAAAAAAGCTTGTTTGTTCGGGGGCGTGTCCCCTCGTGAAGGCGCGGGGCGCAGTCGCACGGCCGTCGCCGCCGCGAGCGCAGTCCTACGTTCGTTTCAAACACATTTTGACATATCAATCAGTCACACCGTGATCTGAGATTAAAAAGAGGAGACAGTGCACACAGATTACAATGTATCGTTCGGTATCGAATTAAGAAATCATGCTAATGATTGCTCCGAGCCAATAAATATTAATGCCAGAGTCAAAACTCGTGTCGCCGTGTCTGACATTCATATATCGCTGTGGACGTTTAGTTTAATGAATTTAAATCGTGTATCGCCTGCATAATTTGTTGGGACAACATTGTGTGTTTGCGAGTCGTCGTTGAAAACGACTTCGTCACGGCTGATTAACATTTCTTTACGCCGCGGGTGGTGTTTTGACAGGTGCTACAGAATGGCTTTCGAGGACCGATGCAGCCCAAACCAGGCCAACAGTCCCGGGCCCGTCACGGGGAGAGTGCCGGTTCCACATGGTGATATTCAGGTAAACTATTGCCCTCCAAGTCAGTACACTTGCACAACAATTGAGCCAAGGTACGAAAGAAACTCGCCAAATATGACGATAGTTAAAGTGCAACCGAATTCACCACCTCCAAGCCCCGAACAAAACCAAAGTGAAATGGAGAATTACCATAATTATTACAGACCAGACACACCCGATGTAAAGCCTCAAATTCAGGACGAACAGAGATTTGAACCAGATAAGGTTAGAAACCAACGAGCGCAGCCGTCGGCACCTATAGGCTTTTCAATTACTAACATATTACACCCAGAATTTGGTTCCAACGCACTTAGAAAAACGAACAAAATCGAAGGACCAAAACCCGTCGGGCCTAACCACAGCATACTGTACAAACCTTACGACTTATCCAAGAATCAGAACGATTACCAGAAATACAGTTTTGATTATTTAAAATCGAAGGAAACGAACGATTTTAATCGATTGCCGCCGCTCGGAGGGTTGCGGCAAACTGTTTCTCAGATTGGGGAACAAATTCAAAAAGAGAAGGAATTACCAAAGATAGTAGAAGCTCAGAAGAGGCCTGATTCGGCCAGTTCGATTGTGTCTTCGACTTCCAGCGGGGCGCCATCGACTTGCGGGAGCACAGACACAAATAGTCAAGCTCAAGGAAATTCTGCATTATGGCCTGCTTGGGTTTACTGCACTAGATACAGCGACAGACCTAGTTCCGGTAAGTACCATAGATATAATTATTTTTTCTTTTCGTCATGGTTTATATTAAATTGCGAACTGTATGTTACGTGACCATTTCGAATGTCTTAATTGAAATTTTCCATTAACACGTCGCGGAAACACGTCCGAACATCAAGTGAAGGGAAAATGTTTTTTACCTACCTATACAATTAAAGTTAATTTAAGACATTTATTTTAGATTTATTTGTATCTTCGCCAATGAATATGCTTATCATTGATAATTATTTAGCGGATCCTACAGCCATTTAATAAATCATTGATTTATGCAAAAAACAACGGTTTTGGAATCCGGTACATTGAATTACACGTATGATTTATTGAATACAATCAATCAGTATATAATATATTTGATTTATGCTGTCTTATTTAATACTGTTATCAGAATAATGAATAAAAAATTATTATTGCTATTTAAGTAAGCAGTAGCTCCGTGTTGACACAGTATACATGAGTTTTATATGAATAATTCAATAGTTATCTAAATCAGTGACCTTTATAAGAGTCCAGGGTTTATTTTCTTTTTTATATTATATTGTAATAGGAACCAAGTAACAGCCCACCTTATGGTAAACGGTAACCGTTACGTATATACAATTTTTTTAGTCTCCTTTAACGCTGTTGGCCGCAGCTGACCTTTACAGCTTCACCGGACGATAGAGAACGAGTGCAGATGATCCTCCAAACCAAAGGAAGGACGTATAGAGCGGTTGAATGGATACGACTATAGTCTGAAGGCACTGCTAGGGGTTCGAACCTCGGCTCAGGCCGTCGTAATATTGACCCCGTTTCAATTGGACGGAGGATCAATCGGAGGGGAAAAATGACAGCCTATATACACGAACATCATCATCATCATTGGGGTCAATAATTGTTTACGGCCCGGGGGATAATAGAAATATTTTTAAGACAATAATTGTAAAGTGTATAATATGAATGTGGATGGATGTAAAGGGAGGGGACGCCCAAAGAGAAGATGGATGGATTGTGTGAAAGATGATATGAATAAAAGAAGAGTATGTTCAGATATGACGACCGATAGAGAGCAGTGGAAGAGAATGACAATGATGACCACAAATAATGGGATAAAGGCAAGGTAATGATGAATGATGAATGATGAATTCACTCTAAATAAATGGTGCAATGGGTAATAGATATACTATATTTATAAAGAAACACTGCTGTTTTTTTGAAGAATATTTTGAATTATTATTTTTAACCACTACTATTTGATATTTGATTTTAATGATTTTTGAAGAAGACTATTCATTACAGGGATTACTAATAGGAATATTTATGAAGAGTAGTAATAATAATAATAATAATAATAATCTCAGGACAATTCACACAGAGCCATCTAGTCTCAAGTTAAGCTATCTAAAGGTGTCATGAAAAATGAAAATTAGACTGAGAACCTACTCTATAAAAGACATGACATCCTAGTCCTCTACCATGGTGATATAAGAGTGTCACGGGTGTTACATGATAACGTGATGTCCGTAGTGCTGTTCATATAGACGACGGTTATCTAATAATTGAATGTTTTTTCTATTTTATTATTTCGTTGAATTAGTGCTAATCGGTGGTTTGTATTCACACACTTAAACTTAAATTGTAAGTAAGAATAAATTATTTAAAAGAGCAACACACAAATTTCTTGCTTGTTCTTCTTGTGATGAGACAGCATTCCGAATGAGCGGTAGATTAAAAAACAAAAAAAATGTTATGACTATTCAAAAGTGCTTCAATGTAAGTTTATTTGAATAAATGATTCTCTATTCTATTCTATTCTATTCTATTCTATAATCTCACTATTAGATGGGCTGTCCGCTTATTCCAATTACATAAAAAAAAGAACAGTAAGAAATCTTATTGGTTTTGGACTAATTATTCCAAACATATTTATAAGACCTCTAGGTTTATATTTATAACTAGCTGTACCCGAGTACTACGTCTGCTTGGAATTTAACTTTATTGTTCTAAAATGAAAGAATTTTTCTAAAATAAAAGTAGCCTAAGTTACTCCTTATTACATCAGCTACCTGACAAAAAAAGTCCCGTCAAAATCGGTCCAGCCATTTCAGAGATTAACCGGAACAAACAAATAGACTAAAATAAATAGATAGAAAAATTGTAAAATATGTTTTTTTGATGTATATGTATGTACCGTGTTTATATTCATATGCATGTAGTAAAAAACGGTTATTTCAATATTACAAACAGACACTCCAATTTTATTTATATGTAGGTATAAATAAGATAAAAAACAAGCTTAAATTATAAAAAAATACCTTCATAAGTGGACAAGGTGATATATGTGGACGATTTTATTAAGTGTGAACTTACAACTTTTAACGCCAATTCTCAAATAAAGTATGGGCTTCTTTATAGTTATATATATAATTTATTGACTCGTGTATAAATGGTGTCGTAATATTTAAACGTTTTTGTTACCTTTTCAAGCATAAAATATATCTATACATATAAATAAAATTGGACTGTCTGTTTGTAATATCGAAATAACCGTTCCTTACTACATCCATATGAATATATATACGATACATACACCAAAATAACATTTTTTTAAATTTTTGTCTGTCTGTCTGTTTGTTTCGGCTAATCTCTGAAATGGCTGGACCGATTTTGACGGGACTTTTTTTTGCAGGTAGCTGATGTAGTTAGGAGTGACATAGGTTACTTGTATTTTAGAAAAATAAAGTTAAATACCACGCGGACGAAGTCGCGGGAATTGCTAGTATTTTATAAATACCAGACAATTTTCTGTTATATTATATTTACGATTATGTTATTCATATTATAGACTCGAATGTTTGTGTGGGTGTTCGTTTGAAACTCTTTCATACAATAGTTTGACGGCCCCGGTGGTCTAGCGGTTTAGCTCACCGCTGTACTTCAGACGGCGGGTTCGATTCCTCGCTCAGTACGAATATTTGTTAAGTAATATTTTTTTTCGGAACACTCCAATACTGTTGGGCGCAGCTAGCCCTTACAGCTTCACCGGGCGATAGGGGCGAGTGCAGATGGCACTCCAAACCTAAGGAAGGACTTATGGAGCGGCTGAAGGACAAATCCCGCCTGACAGATACGACTTTAGTCTTAGGGCGCCGATAAAGAAAATTTAGAAATTTCTAATTCTTTAATTAAATTAATTAAATTTCTTATTCTATTCTATTCTTTAATTAAATTTCTAGTTGGATCCTTGGTTTTATTATTACAATTAGATTTCTTTTTAAACTGTTTCGTTTTACATTTTTAGTTGGCTGAAGGCCGACTCCCGCCTGACGGATATGACTTTAATCTGAGGGCACCACTAGTGAAAATTTAGAAAATTCAACTTTCTAATTCCAGTTGGATCTTTGGTTTTTTTTATTATAATTAGAATATTTTGTTTAATCTGTTTAGATTTACATTTTAAGTTACTTACTTATTAGAATAGTGGCTTCATATCATGTAGAATTAACTAAGTGGCCACTTTATTTAGGCCTATAGTACTATCTTCGAAATATTAAAGAAGTTTCTTATACGAAACTATTTCGTTACGTTGTTCAGCAATATTAGTCATCATTATGACGACCTCGGTGTTCTAGCGGTTTAGCACATCGCTTTACGTCCGATGGTCGCGGGATCGATTCCTCGCACGGCACAAACATTTGTATTCATACGCAAAAACTGCTGAACGTATTTTGTTGAAACTTTACGGAGATTAGTTTGTACATCAGAACAACATATAGGCTATAGATATCATACGAGTGAAACCGGGGGCACAGGTAATATTAGATACTTAAGAATCCGCGATATTTCGAGTGTTACAAATGTCCTGGTCACGAGTGGAAACTTTTTGTAACATATATACCTATTACTAGCCATACGAGAAAAAATGGCTTGAAATTTATAGACTATATGTTATGCTGATGTGTAAGCTACATTATTGTAAAGTTTCATCAGAATCCGTTCAGTAGTTTTTGCATGAAAGAGTAACAAACATCCATAGATACTCACAGACTTTCGCTTTTATAATATTAGTAAAATCTTCACTTAAAATTAGGTATATAACTTTTTGCTGATAAAAAAAACGGGTACGTAGGTTATTCCCAATTGAAGTTAAGTTCACAGGTTACATTCAAAACGACGAATATACAATTACGTACGTTAATTGTTCAAAACAACGAATTAACTAATGTTTTTTTTTTCAATTCGTATTTTTCATTACAACATCTGATTGTTGAAAGAGAACATTGCTATTTTTTATTTTTAAACAGATTTTTAACATACGCCATTGTTATTGTATGCAAATTTTGCTAATTGTTAAAGAATATTGTCATTATTGAAGGATATATTTACGAGTAACTAGCTGACCCACACAACTTCGTCTGCATTACAATTACTTGACATTTATCATTATATTTCCCACAATTTAAATTTATATCTTTTTAAATTATATCCTATATATTATTCTGATGTATAAGCTATATTACTGTGAAGTTTCATCAAAATCCGTTCAGTAGTTTTTGCGTGAAAGAGTAACAAACATCCATCCATACTCTTCGCTTTCGCCCATCGTGCAAATTCCCGGCGAATTTGTCACGTTGGACTAACTGACCTGATTTCTTGCTCATCCTATAATCGTCCACTGGAGTCCCGCTAGCGTAAACCGTTAGCGCAGGCGGGTGCACCATTCCATTATCAACCATGAAAAAAAAAACACAGATGACTGTCCCATTCCATTATGAAAATTGCGTGTCGCTTCAAGAGAAGAAAATTATTATACGTTGACATTATCCGTCTGCGAACGTGAATCTGTTGACAGCTGTCAAAAAGTGACAGCTGTCAAGTGCTGCGTGCGCGGGAAATTGCGCTAAAGATATTTTTTTTTTATTCTACACCGTAACACGACATGATATTGGTTTGCACTGCGCTAGGGGGGTGAAGGTTGGGCTCCTTTGCCCCGGCATCGACTCT